TTTCAATTATAGTGTTATCAAGATTTGACTTAATTAAAGTTTTGCTAAATATTGTATGTTGTAATAAGCCCTATTGTTTTCCATTCATTTCTTGCTTTTTGGTAATTTTTAATTTTTATAACTAGTGTTGATATGTTAATTATTTTTTCAATAGTATTTATAAAATTAGATTTATGTCAGGTTTATCATAGTTTTGAGTACAAAATCTACGACTGGTTTCTTTTCAATGTTTAATTGCATTGCGTTTAAAGCATTTATTTACGTTCAGATCTTCTTATTTATCTTCTTATTAGCATATTTGTCAACCTATATACACAGTTTTCGTCAGCACAGATTTTTCAAACAAAGCAGTGTTTAATTCAACAAAAATAAGATTGTTTCTTTGCTTGTGCTATTTTGTGTACGAAGAACTTTGATATGTATATGATTTTCAGTGTTTTCAACTGTATAGCCTTTATATCCCAATTTTTGCAGGAAAATTTATTCAATTCGATTTTAACGATGTATTTATTTCTGTGATCATTACATTTATCTAAAATGGTACCGTTTTCTTTTTCTTTAGTACTATCGATCTTCAAATTTTCTTTATTAATATCAATATTGCTTTTAATTTTTCAAAATGTTCACCTTATTCATTTCCGTTTTTTGGTTTCATTATTATGGGAGTTTTTTTCTTCTTTTCTTTTCATTCAGCTTTATATTCTTGCTCAAGACACTCGCAGAAGTAGTGGACCATATGTTTTGAGTATTATCTTTTAGACTGGTATTTTTTTCTTCCAAATTATTATATTTTTCAATTTCAGTAAATACTATTTTCAATGTCACAATTTGTTCATTTAAATAATTAATTTTAGTATCTTTATCATCAGACTTATTACAACAATAATATTAAACGTATTAAACTCTAATGCGCACATGCAAATCGATTTTCTGCAGCATTCCATACCTTTCTCTACACAACGTATATTACTCCGTGTATACATACGTAGATGGAAAACTAATTATAATCAACAAGGGAACAAATTGAAAATAAATTTTGCAGAGGAACCGTTTTGTCTATAATAATGAACCGAAACATTTGGGCACAAGACAATGTGCTATCATCTTCAATTGTTTGATATTTGTGATCTATTTTTCATATCATAAATTTCAAATTTTAATATTTCCAATAGAAATATATTTATTATTTTAATTCCTGAACCTTTTAATGTCTCATTCTTGGAACATTCCCACATGGCGTATTCCCAATTATTTTATTTTTTAGGGACTGACAAGTTTTACAGATTCGAAGTACTTCAGAAAGATGCGAAAGGCGTCAAAATTCGCTCTCTTTTCCGTTATCAATTTTTCCCATAGTTCAACGGACCCTCATGCATCAAAACTATTCTAAATGACATTTTCAGAGAAATAAAATATAATTTTATTAGAAACATTGTTGAACATGTAGAAAGTTGTTTATAGTACAGTCAGTAAATGACCTACAATTAATCACTATTTAAAAGTTATTTTATTATACTACCACCAGTTGCTACAGCAGCGCTTCCATACTCAGCGGCGAGTCCTAGTACGACATTTGCTTAGTTTCTGTCAGTTCACCGAAGGGCGAGGTCTTCACTGTGTTCCGTGCTCACACATCTGGTGGCGTCGACATCTATGCCCAGTCCTGCCTTACCGTACGCCACGATTTATTGCATCCAAACTTACATTGAAAGGGTCTATTGATGCGAAGTATTGCAAAGCCGTAAGTAATGAATTGAATAGTGCAATATTATATGCATTGAGATATGTGTAAAGAAAAATAAAAACTAATAATTATCCGCGCTCGTGCTCTTGAGCCTTCATTTCGCTAAATGTATCTGTAGTTCGTTTTTATTTGTAAAACAGTTTCTATTATACGACAGTGCACTTTTCTGGTAATTAGGTTTTGTCAACAACGTTCGTCGCCAACATGTATTCCAAATTCAACTAATCATAAAAAAGGAGTGGGGGGGTATTCCGTAGTTAAAAAAAACTTGCACGTATAAATACCACGCGAACCTTGAGATTGGATGCGCAAAGTTGTCGAATGAACGGTTTCTTTTTTTTTGTTTTTTCATTTCCATTGTCTGAAGTCAAACTACTTAATCGAGAGCAATGTTTCTAATAATTCCTGGCTCTCTTTCTGAAACTAAAATATATTTTGTAATAAGTGAGCAAATGCTGATATGGCCCTTTCTTTTACTTCAGGACATAAATGTAACTTCATTATCTGGGCACGTATTCCAAGAATTCAATGGGAAATGTAGTTATTCAAATTATCGTTCTCCATGTTGTGGCGGTTCTTTTCAAGAAGTTTTTTTCACGAAGGTCATGATGGATAAGAGCCCAAATTTATAGCTGATTTAGCATTGAAAATAAATTTGGAGCATTTATTTTGTTAACAGTACTTGCAAACCACACTCATTTCTTTCTGTATTCGAAATTCAGCTACTATATGTCTTAGGGTAGGGATCACAGAATTATGAAAACGTGTACAGAATTCACTTCTCCCCGTAGCATGTCAGTTTTTAACTCTTTGGCGTAAAATAAATAAAAAAGTGTTTGAACTTAGAAATAACATAGCTTTCTTATAGTAATAGACTTAATGATAACTTGAAATTCTAGCAATTCATTAAATGAGTTGGTTACTAACGCAGTTGAAAATGTTGACTTACATATGACAATAGTGCATCCAAAAATGCTAATTGTAGCCTAGAGTTAACTTTTTGTACAGGACATCAAATCGCTTTTAACCTCGTCGCTGGAGAATATAACAAAAAAAGCATGAAAGGCCAGCGGCATCACAATTTTGCAGGGACAGTAAACGTTGCATGGCTGACGGAAATTTCAAAGCATTCCGTTGAATGCCTGTAATGGTTTTTGTTAAGGTTAATAAGGTCAGTATTTGCAACTCTGGCTTCTCCTCTAACCATAGATCTGCGTTTGCTATTTACAGGGCGTATATTAAAGAAACTTTTACTTTGGTAACATTCAAAATATTGCGCATGTGCGACTACAGTGCTGCAATGGCCGTCATGAATTGCAGCGTTGTCATAGTGTTATCATATAAATAAAACGAAACGAATACATGTGCATGTAGGAGATTTGTGAACAAGACCCTGCTGATTAAACATTAAATATTTATCGTACTTTTTTCAGACCGCTGTGTTTGTACGTAGGTTGGTTTACGGAATTCTCTCATGCCATAGTTAGTTAAAAGTGCTTCAATTTTTAATCTTCGTTGCTTACTATGCTTAGTACTGCGTTCCGAGGTTTATTAATAAAATGTAATTACATTACTATAAGCTGGCTTATAGAAATGCTAGAAACAATCTTCTACCATGCTTACTTCTAGAAATGGCTCTGCAGTTTACTGTAATGAAACTAACTTTTAAAGGAATAAATATATAGCTGATTAAATATTGATTGTTTTGGGTTTTCGAGGATGCTGATACTCATATTACGTTTCAACTTTTTGAAAAACTCTTTGGTTTTGAGATTATTTATAAACATTGGTGAATAAGTAGTACATTCTATAAGGAGGGGTTTATTTTTGTTCGTGTATTTAGTATAGTTTAGTACAAGCTTTTTAGATTTTGAGAAATATACTACGTATGTTTAATCAAGTGCGAAAACATTTGGTTTTGAGCTATTTCATATCGTATGCTACCATTCTATCGATTATTTTGGTTTGGTGAACACTGCATTGAAGCATGGACGTTTTCATATGGCATTCAATGAAAAATTGTGAGGGTGATGTATATTATTTCTGTTATTAAGTGAACTAAGCCTCAGAGCTCAGAGTATTTGTCAGCGCAGACTCGGACGGCAGAAGGACAAGGTAAACGCTGAGAAGTCAGCGTAATTGTACGTATGCGAGAATTTATGCAATGTGTAAATATTTGCATGTATGCAGTAAGTATACTAAGTGAATACATTCTTCACATTTTAGAAATAGAACACAATTAATTCAAGTGATAATGTATTTTTAATGAAATTTCCAGGCATAACTCTGTACACTTCATACCTAAACCGACCACTCAATCAGCTGTTGTCTATGGGAGTATTTCAGGAATTTGTAAGAAGTTATTTTATCTTATTTTTAATATGCGAACTTAAAATTTGATTATTCAGATTGTACATGGTTTTGTAGAATAATTTTGACATCAAATAATAGAAAAGTTTGGTTTCTGTATCTTTCAGGCTGCTTACTGGTGCTAATTTTTTGCTGTTTTTCTAGGAAAAAGGGAGCATCTGAGATCAGCTTCTGATTATATGGCTAGACATGCTGTGCATTCGATGCTGGGTGTCTTAGATACGTGTACGATATGCTCTGTGACTCTTAAATATTACAATTATGATTAAAATTCGATCAGTAATGAGTTTTATTTTTTTAGATAGTTTGTTCTACTTGTAAGAAATGGGCCGCAGAAAAGACCACTGAATCAGCTGTTGTCTATGGAAGTATTTAAGGAATTTGTAAGAAGTTATTTTATTCTTATTTTTAATATGCGAACTTAAAATTTGATTATTCAGATTGTGGATGGATTTGTAGAATAATTTTGACATCAAATAATAGAAAAGTTTGGTTTCTGTATCTCTCAGGCTGCTTACTGGTCGTGAGCAACGCCACGCATTCCAACAAAACAGGAATCAGAAGATCGACACGTAACACTATTATTATTATTATTATTATTATTATTATTATTATTATTATTATTATTATTTTGTTATCATAACGCCCAACGAATCAATTAGGACATCAAAATTAAAGTGAACATGTAATTGTTCATTTTCTTCCCACCTATTTACACTAACAATTTGCCTGGTTTACACTGCCTAATTCCTTTGCCTTTACCTATTTACACTGCCAATTCATTTGCCTAGTTTAAATAAAATGTTAAGCTGCGTATTACAACACATGATGAACGTCAATTCTAAAACTACAATTGTATTAATCAGTGTGATTTTTTTTTCTCAGACAGATTGATTGCAACACAACGTGTTCTGTAGAACAGTGGAAGCACATTCCTTTGGAAACTACTTTGGAGTGTGGGTAACTACGTTGCATATCCAATGCAATTTGGAATTTTTAATGCGGGATGAACACAAATGAGACACACCTAACATTATTTTATTTCCACCACTAACGTATAGTTGTGCTAATTTTTTTGCTCTTTTTCAAGGAAAAAGGGAGCATCTGAGATTAGCTTCTCATTATATGGCCAGACATGCTGTGCATTCGATGCTGGGTGTCTTAGATACGTGTACGATATGCTCTATGACTCTTAAATATTACAATTATGATTAAAATTCGATCAGTAATGAGTTTTATTTTTTTAGATAGTTTGTTCTACTTGTAAGAAATGGGCCGCAGAAATACAGCAGAAAGCTTGAAATACGGAGCATACGCAGGTAAGTAGTGATTTGAACATTGCTTTGTTCTCTACTAATTAGATTTATACATTAATCTTGTTTTTACAAATTCAACCACTAATAAATCATTTGCATATATCTGCCTTAATTTTGAGACTCTAATGTAACAAACTTAATAAGAAACTAATGTTAATAGATCGTACTTATCAAATTTGAATTTCTGTAATTTCAATATCTCTAAGTTTGTTATTGGATCCGAATATACATTGAAAGTGAACGCTAAAGAAAACTAAATGATAGCCGCAAGTAACGCGTAAAATAGTTCGATATTATATGAATGTGTAGAAAGAAAAACGTCCCGGGCCTCAATTATGATGCGCTGCAGTTCCTGAAGAGAGCTTGTAGAAAACAAAATATTCGAAATCCACAAAGATTTTTTCCTCTTCAACTGTCTAAAGTCAAACTTTACGTATATAACAGATTAGTGTTATAATACTCAATGGCCTAATAATAGAAACCGTAAGATTCGTAATAAGTATTATTTGAACTTCGAACCATGATATTCGTATCATACTTGGCTAATTATCAAACTCGTTCTAAGTTTTGTTTGACAATTCTCCAAGATCTTGTAGTCTAATGTCTACTTATTTCTGAAATGACAATTACAGCTTTTTTTAAAATTTTGTAGTAGAATTTCATTATTTTACTTGCAATGGATCAAAATAAATTGATAGTAATGTTTTCTGATCTTAAAATATTACTTTTAAATAAACAAGATAACATACGTAAATATATTCCTCAAAATAAATATATTTATATACTTATGAATATTTTGAAGGGATAAAAAGAGTATTTCTGCAATTTGATCCGAAAGTGTTAGCAGTATTGGAACTTTCCCTTTAGTTAACTTTGCAGCGATGATCAAAATTCGCAGTAATGGAGGAAATTGCCTTATTCTTTTATCGTGAAATCGTATTTTCTGTATTTTCCTACATTTGATGTGCGTTACCTTCATGTGTGATGATTCACTATAAACCGTAGTCAACTATTTTCTCTAGATAAGTAAGATGCTCAATTACATATTAATTTTCTATGGTATTACATACACTTAACCGTATGTTAGATTTAGTCCTGGGACTCGATTAAAAAGTAGGACCTTATCTTGCTTACCATCACGAATCGAATCTCGATGCCCCCGGGGTTAGAATAAAAGCGATGAACAATCGACCAGAATGAGGGAATTGTGGTTCTGTTGGTTAAATACGTGTGGTTTAACATGATGTATAATTTAGAGACAAACGGTTTTTTTAATTTAATGCAATTTTTTAGGAAAGAGATTATTGTAATGGTGCACCGGAAAAAAGTGAATTTTTGATAGAAAACTGAAATTGCCGCTTTCTGGTAATTAAACAATGGATAAACTTTGTTTCTATATACGATACATTACATTCTGTAACACTTTTTAGTCGGATTTAATGTTTCGTGGACCCTTGGTAGTTTTGGCAAAAATACTGAAATAATCAGGATATTTTGAACGCTAGTAACCAAACTAACGTAATGCAGAAAATCGTAAAATATACGACCACATAATCTCCTTACTTAGTAGAGAATGTTGTTTTAAAGGATAATGAAAGAGAAGACAGTAATCTGGAATAAGTGGCAAATCTCTTCAACCAACAGTGTTCTAGAATTACGGCTGAACTCACGAAGAGACTAAAACAGCTAAATTCAACATAATTTCCTCCACAAAATATGTCGACACGATGTTTACTTCCGAAACTACTTCTAACAAAATCTAACGAATAGTCAATGAACTTAAAAATAAATATTCATCTGGTTTAGATGAATTTCCTGATTGTTTATTGAAAACCTGTGTACTTGCCTTTGTACACCCGTTAACTCACATTTTCAATGCTGCTTTATGCATACGAATATTTCCAGATATTTTCTAAACAGCAAATATTAAACCACTTTTTAAAAAGGGAGCAAAAATGAAATTAAAAACCACTCTCCAATTTCTCTCTTGTCTGGGTTCTCAAAAATATTAGAGGCGCTTTTCTAAACGCGAATGGAAACTTTTCTCAGGATAAACGAAGCGTTTTGAGACTTACAACACGAGTTTAGAAAATACAAATCGGCGGAAACTGCCATTTTTTCTTTTTTTAAAGATGTTGCTTCATCAATGGACCAAAATTATGCACCCTTTGGAAATTTTTAGATCTTTCGAAAGATTTTTAAGTTATTGACCATACATCATGTTATCAAAATTACCTTCTTATGGAGTTCGTGGTATCGCCCTAGATTGGATAACCTCGTACCTTAAATATCGACCTCTAAGAGTAGAAATAACGTACTGGCATGAAAGGGCATTTTTTACTTATCTACCCAATTCTTTACCAATTGAATATGGGGTCCCGCAAGGCTCTTAGGTCCTACCCTCTTTCTGTTATTCGTAAGCGATATGCCGTCGTCTATTAAAAACGGAAGAACGGTTGTTTGCCGATGACAGGAATGTTCTTTGCAAAAAAGAAACAATAAATAGTACGATTTTAAAAGTTTCAAATTGGTTTTATAATAACAAATTAATAGTTAATGACGCTCCATACAATCGCAAGGTTCCATTGAAAATGAACAGTATGCAATTAGGTGATGTTCAGGTAACAAAATTTCTAGCTCTCAATTCAGTCAAACCGCAAATGGTATGTACATATAACAAAATTAAACACTAAATTAAGTTCATTATGTTACGCATTCAGAATTCTTTTAAATTCTGTAAACATTCATGCAGCTCTTTGCGTGCATTTTGCAAATGTACATTCCCGCCAGAGATGTGGCACAATATTCTGGGAAAACTCATTATGCAGTACTTAGACATTTAGATTGCAAAAGAAAATATTCGAATAATGAAAAAATGCCATCCACGTGTACCCTGCAAGCTTCTGTTCTTTGATCTTGGAATCTTACCACTGCCTTACCTATTTATTTACGAAACTGTAATATTGGTCAAATGAGACTTACTTAACGGTGGGAACATATTTTCATGCAATTTTAATATTTATAATTACAGCACATGTTGTAGAAATCACGTTTATCAAGTATCAGTACCAACAGCTCACAATCAGAAATCCACATACATTTACGTCACTTTACAACGCATTGCCAGATGACATTGAACAGCTGAAGTCGGTTCACAAATTAAAGTTAAAAGTAACATCTTTTCTGCTGCATAATTGCTTCTTTACAATTAGTGACTATACTGATTATCATATCGAAAAATGTTTATTTTAACGGAATAGTATTTTAACGGAATAGTGATATATTGAATTAGTTTATATTTGTATTGTATATTTTTTTGCAAAGACTATATATGATTGTAACAAATAATGTACTTCAGCTTCCGCGTCAACGACCACCATCTCGTTCTGATTTTTGCCCAGTTTGCCTGCTCCATTCAGCAAATGCTGAGATGGCCCCTGTTTTGCGTCTGGACATAAATGTATCTTCACTATGCGCGTTTCTTTGAACTCTTCTTTTGCTTGTAATAATAGGAGTAGAGGTAAAGGCAAGTTACTATTTGGTTAGAAATGCAGAAAAATCAATCTTGCAATTCGTGTACCGATGCAAATACGTTTTCTATAACTCAAAAACAAAAATTACTATTTTTCAAATATTGCTAATCCTGCGATTTTTAAAATTTATTTTTATTTATTGATTTTTAACTTTTACTTATCTTTCAACTATTTATAGTTAAAATGACGGGAAGGGATTCTGGAATTCAAGAAAATATGCGCAGATAATCTTTTCCCACATAAATCACATACAGTTTTTACTATTTTTTGACTAAATAAATCTAATCTAACCTAACCTTAATAATCTGCAAAAATTGCAAAATTGCAAACTTTTTATCGGCGTATTGTTACAACTACAATGTTAAAATAGTTTTACTTTTCCGTACACATAGGTAAGAATAATAAACGTTCTGTAGTGCGAAAGAAATAAACGGAGTAATAAACGTTCTGTAGAGCTCCCCAAAAAACGACGGATTTCGGCAGAAAAAAATCTTTGTCCAGTCCGGTGTCCCTCCCTGTGTGTGCGAGTGTGTCCCTCCCTGTGTGTGCGAGTGTGTCCCTCCCTGTGTGTGCGAGTGTGTCCCTCCCTGTGGGGGCGAGTGTGTCCCTCCCTGTGGGGGCGAGTGTGTCCCTCCCTGTGGGGGCGAGTGTGTCAGCAAATTTGTATGCAACGTATTTAAATGCCCTCATATTTTGCGACAACTTGCAAACCAATCACGGGCGGGGTTTTGTTTAGATCTGGCTCACACCAAAAGCTTTATTTCGTGTAATACAGCTACATTTTTAAAAGAATATCAATCTATTTCACGGTTGCAAATTTTTTCCACATGAAAGATTTTTAGTTGATACTATTCAATACGTAATCCAGCATTTCATAAGATTTCATGTGTTCAGGATGAGAAATTTGAATAAGAGAGATTTGTTACCATTAAGTAGTAAAGCAGCTTTATAACTAACTTCCGATGCGTCAATGAAGTGTCATTCATTCGCATAGTACATTAACCCCAGTGTTTACATTAATCCATTTACGTTACTGCTGTATGAGAGGTTATCTTTGGTTGAAACATAATGAATGTACTTGCTTTTTCGATGTCAAAATACGCCAACTCTTGTATTTTGGGCATGTAAATTCCATTCCTGTTATCATGATTCCAGCATTTCAGGTTGCATTTTCATAAATTTAAGCCTCTAACCAGGTAATTTAATTTCTCATTAGATACCATCTGGGTATCTATGACGTTAGAAACATGAAAATTATCTTCAGAATTCACTTCTAATACATTCTCTACAACATACAACTCTGGTTTTAGAGGGTAAGGTTTAAGTAGATCTGGACCATGAGCAACTGTCTTATTGCCGAAGATAAATTGGGATACATAATTGAGGCGGTATCTAGAACAAACGTCTGTACGTCAAAACACCGTTTTGAGAAAAACGCATTGAACATTTTTGATCATTAATTCTACACTGG